ACACCTTCTGTTGTCTAAACACTCCCTGGAACCACAAGTTCTAACCCAAGGGACAGTTTTGCTCTTCACTCTCCTGGAGTGGGGTGGGTGTGCCCTTGGCTCTGGTTCCCACACACCAGCTCAGAGCTCACAGGAGCAGGCCACAAAACAGGGGCCGAGAGCCATTCACCCTCTGGGATTCCGGGAGGCTGGGCTGTGAGACTGGGCCAACCTGAGACAGACTGGCTTCCAGCTTCCTCACACCCAGCAGTTGTCCCAAAGATGATTCATTAGGCCCCACTCTTCCTCTGGCCTTCCCTGTTTGCCCGGAGGTAGCGGTATTTCATAGCCTGGAAAACTGGCTTCATGCCAGCCCTGCTGCCTGGGGAGGTGTTGGGTGGAAGGACAGATGTGGAAGAGAGAGGCAAGTCTCTGGGAGGGAGATGCTGCCCACCATGGCACCCTGGAACTGAAGACCATGGCAGCATGGGTTGAGGAGTCTGCAGTCCCTCACCCCACCCATTCACTGCTGAGGTTTGTCCTCTTCCAGAATGCCACTCAGGGTGCATCTTCCTCATCTCCTATGGAAACCTGAACAGCCAGAGAGAGAAGTCTCTTGCATTTTTCAAAGTTCTGAAGGCTTGATGAGAGGTTAGAGACGTCTCTACATTTAAAAGGGCTTGTCAGACATTAAGGTCCCTGCATGGCACAAATGGTTTGTGACCAGCCACTAACCCAAAGGTTGGTGGTTCAAACCCATCCCACAGCACTGCTGAAGAAAGACCTGGCAATCTGTCTCCATAAAGAATACAGCCACGAAACCCCACAAGGCAATTCTACTCTGTGACACACAGAGGGGCCGTGAGTTAGAGTCTACTCTATCGCAGTAGGGCTGGTTTGGTTGTGGTCAGATATTAAAGAAGAAAGTAAATGAAGAAAAAGTGAGTAGAGTTGGAGAACTGAATCCCTGCTTAGCTCTTTGGAGGCTGGAGGCTCTGCCCTGTCATTCCTGGCCCTCTTTGGTTTACACTCTACACTTTAAGAAAAAAAAAAAATTAACTACTAGCTCGTCAAACGAGAGATCACTGCACCAATAGATTAATAAATAATGTTCTAGGTGGTTGGCATATTTCCTTAGTGTTTTAAACGAGGAAAAGCTTGTGTCCCATGAACATTATTAGGAGAAACGGAGAGGAATTCAAAGATGGGGTGAGGTGAGGTGCTTTCAAGACATTAAAGCCGCGTGTCTAGGGGAAAAATGACAGTCCCTGTCTGTTTAATATGTAACATATGGGAGGATGGAGGGCGCTTGGAACAGAGTGAGGAGCATGCAGTTGCTACAGAGATGGTGAACGCGCGCGCAATGAAGGATCCGATGGGTTAGGCAAGGTTGGAATTTGAGATTAAATCTTCGGGGAATTAAGGAATGCTTCCTAACAAGGTGGCAGGGAGCGTTTTAGGCCTGTGCTGGCAGATTCACACCCTCATCTTCACACATCCACGAACGCGCCTTAGCCGCGTATTTACCCAAACTCAGATCGCGCGCACAAGCACGCACACGCCTGCGCGTCTGGAGCCGCAATCGCTCAATGACACTCAGCCAGTCTAGAAATGACACTTAGCCAGGGCTAGAAATCCCTTTACAAGGACCTCCTAACCCAAAGTTCCAGAGAAACTTTAATAGGAGATAGAAAAGTGTTTGATGATGGGGGGAAAAAAATCTGCTTGCTTGCAGTTCTGGCGATGGCCAGAATGCTACAATAAACTGTTGCATTCCAGAGCTGGGGAGGGCGAAGGAAGGCAGGGGGAGGAGGCGAGAGCAAAGAGACCAGAGAACTTGGAAGACGAAATCAGAAACTCGGGCTGCGAAAGCCACTGGGGCCGCAGGGGGGCTGGCAGGGGGCGGAGGAGGCCGGGGAAGGGTTAACGCGGGAGCAAAGCGTGCGGCGGGGGCGGGCCGGGAGCTGGCGCTGGCCCTTTAAGGCAGGCGGCGCGGGCCGATCGAGCGCGGCAGTGATTGGCGCGGCGGGATCACTGCTTCCCGAAGCCCGGCCCGGGGGAGTCGGCTGGAGCCGGCTGTGCTTTGATAAGGTCCTGGCAACTGAGTAACAACCAGAGCGCCTGGAAATAAAAATATCCCCTAATAGCCATGGATTTCGGGGCGTCCCAGAGTCCGAGCCGCCCGCCACCCCTGCAGAAAACCCTGGTGTAAAAGGTGGGGGTGGAGGCCTGGGCCCCGAAGAGCTGCTTCCTAGGAAGCCCCCGCCTGGGCCCAGGAAGCTAGGTTGCGCCAAACTCCGTCGCGGGCTCCGGGGGCGGAAGGGGCTCAATGGGGCCGAAGCCCGGCCGAGGAAGGGGTCGCGGGCCCGGCGGCTCCGCGGATGGGCGCCAGAGGCGCGGGGGGCGGCCCGGGGCGCGGCGGGCGCGTACCTCCCTTTCAGGACCGTGCGCTCGGCTCGCGCCTTTGAAGTGCACAGTTAAATCCACAGCGCAGTTTTTGTTGGAAGCGCCCGGAGGACATTTGGTGCGCGGAGTGACTGCTGGAAACAGGACCTGCGTTGAAAACCGGCCGGGCGGGGGCCGAGGGGCCAGGGGCGGCCGCGGCGGGGGCGGAGGCCCGGGCGGGCCTTTTGCATAAAAGGGGCGGCGGGGCGCGCCGCGCGACCCTACCTCGCTGGTGGATTGCGCTTTAATCCCAAGCTTGTTGTTACACCGCCCCCTCCCCGCCGCGCGACTCCCCATGCTCCCCGCCGCCAGGGCCGGCCCGGGGGGGCCCGGGGCTGCCAGTGCGAGCCGAGCCGGGGACTGGGGCCGGGGCCCTACCCAGGGCGCCAGCGAGGCTTCGCCGCGGAGCGCGCGCGCCGATCAGTGGTGAGTGCCAGGCAGCGTTGGCGGGGCGGCCCGGGCGCTTTGATGTGCTGGGCGGCCCTTTGAAGTTCTGGCTAGCTATTTCGGGGCGCTCTCGCGGCAGGCGTGCAGGGGAGCTGGGGCCCGGCGCCTAGCGTTCTGGGGGCTCGGCCTGGAAGACCTGAGCTGAAGCCCCCTCCCCAGCGCTGGCTGGGATGGTGGGGGGCCTGACCGGGAGACTTGGCCAAGTGACGGTGGGGGCGGAGAGGGGCTGGTCCCCCTAGGGGTCGCATCGCTGTCGCTGTCGCTGTTACGGTTGGAAGTCGGAGTGTGTGTGCGCGTGAGTGCTTTTGGAAGGTGGGATGAAAGGGTGGTGGCTCCCCGCCCTCCCCGCGCGCCCTCCCCCAGCCCTCTCCCCCACGCAGCTCACCTCCCTCCTCCCTTTCACCCCTCCTAGCGCTAAGGGGCCCCGAGCGCCGGCCGCGGCTCAGTCTGCGCGCAGGACCGGCCCGAGCCCGGGCGCCCGCGTCCCTCCTCCCCGCCTGGGCCCCGAGCCCCTGGCCGCCCCAGCCCCCTTTGCGGAGAGGGAGAGACTTCGCGCGTCGCCATTTCTGGACTTGGCGGCTGCTTTCGGTGCTTTTTCTGCGGGCGCCTCTGCGAGCGGCAGAGCCGCTGACCGACCGAGCTCGGGCTCGGGGCACTGCTTGCACCCCCCTAGGGCTCCGAGCCCGCGCTCGGCGGTTTGCTCGGCCGTGCTTTGGTCGCGTTGGTTTGCTTTGGGCCGGGGGGCCGGTGCAGAGGGGCTCCGCAGAGATGAGAGCCCGGCCTCGGGCCGCCTTCGTCTGCCAGGTAACGGGGCCGCCCCACCTCCCCTCTACCCGAGTACCGGGGACGGGCACGGGCAGCCCTTCTACTCCGCCTGCCGCGGTGCCTGGCCCGACAGCGGAGGCCCCGGGCGAGGGGTCGCGCGCACCCATCCCGGGCTCGGGCGTCCCGGCGCCTAGCTTCGGGTCGCGCCCCGTCCCCTGCTCTTCCCGTGCCCTCCTTAGTTTGAGCCTTCCCTTGCTAGAGAAAGCAGCTTGTTTATTGGTTGGAGAAGCCTTTTTTTTCCCTCCCCCCCGCCTTGGAAAAAAAAGACAGGCTTGAGATCAGTAGACTTTGGGATTCGATTCTTGGCACAGGCAGGGGTGAGCGTGAGACGGTTTCTGATCCGGTTTTGTAGGGTTCGCTCCGGGAAATGAGCTGGGGGTGGGGTGGGGTGGGGATGATGGGTCCCGAGGCTTCTCTCTTCTCTCGCAAAGTTTGAAGATCAAAGGCTCGCCTGAGTGAGTTGCGTTCTGGTTTGGGGGAGCGGGGGAGACCGAGGTGGAGACCGAGCCGGATTCTTGGCGAGAGGGAGGGCTCAGCGGACATTTACTCCTGGGTTGGAGTGTGGGGGGGTATTGCCAGCTGGTTCTGGGGTGGGGTGGGGTAGGGGGCGTTTGCCTGCTGAGCTGGGCGTCCGGGAGTCCGTACCGCCCCGTGCGGGGCGGGCTGCTTTCGGGCGCAGATCTTCTGAATTTTTAAGAAGTGGAAGGGGGAGCGCAGAGGGAAGGGGGTGGATTGGGGAATGGGAACCAGATGCCGAGGAAGGGCACGTTTGGAGCTTGAGTTATCTGTGCCGAGAGCCGAGCTGGGAAATTTACTGAAATTGGTTTCACCTGTACCCAGTCCCGCGCCTCCGAAGGGGTCTTTTGGAGTTGATGCTATCCGGGGAGGGGGAGGGAGTGGGGAGGCCTGAGCCCCGCTGCCCGGAGTGCTTGGATGGGTGGGCCGAGCAGGTTTTTGGAAGGTTACGTCTCCCACGACCACCCCTCCTCCTTGGATCTCTCTTGCTCTCATCTTCCTTCTGCCCCAGCTCCCCTTCCCCGCCCCTCTCCACTCGTCCCCTCCCCCTCCCAAAAGCACGGGGAGCTCAGATTTCGCCTTTGAAAAAGCACTGTCTGATACTTTAGATGCGCACCTCGCAGATAGCTGGGTTGCTTGATTTGAATTTGAGGAGTTGAAAAGCCTGTTTACTTTCTTGCTTTGATGTTGGGTAGATCTGGTTTTGATTAGATCAATACCCTTTTCTCTCTTCCCACCTCCCCCCTTCCTTTTCTTTCCAGAGAGGAGGCTCAGATGAGCCCCTGCTGACTTAAGAGAGAGAAGGAGAGACCACGCTGATTGCTGAGAGGAACTGGAAGGAAAAAAAGCCCCAAACTCAATGAGAAGAACTCTCTCGCCATGAGTAGCGCTGTGTTGGTGACTCGACTCCCAGACCCCAGCAGCAGCTTCCGAGAGGATGCCCCGCGGCCCCCAGTCCCTGGGGAAGAAGGGGAGACCCCACCGTGCCAGGCCGGCCTGGTCAAGGGCCAGGTCACCAAACCCATGCCAGTGTCCTCCAGTGCCAGGCGAAATGAGGATGGGCTGGGAGAGCCAGAGGGGCGGGCCTCCCCAGAATCTCCTCTGACCAGGTGGACCAAGTCTTTGCACTCCTTGTTGGGCGATCAGGACGGGGCTTATCTCTTCCGGACTTTCTTGGAAAGGGAGAAATGTGTGGATACCTTAGACTTCTGGTTTGCCTGCAATGGATTCCGGCAGATGAACCTGAAGGATACCAAAACTTTACGAGTAGCCAAAGCGATCTACAAAAGGTACATCGAGAACAACAGCATTGTCTCCAAGCAGCTGAAACCTGCCACCAAGACCTACATACGCGATGGCATCAAGAAGCAGCAGATCGACTCCATCATGTTTGACCAGGCACAGACCGAGGTCCAGTCAGTGATGGAGGAAAATGCCTACCAGATGTTTTTGACTTCTGATATATACCTCGAATATGTGAGGAGTGGGGGAGAAAATACAGCATACATGAGCAATGGGGGACTGGGCAGCCTGAAGGTCGTGTGTGGCTATCTCCCCACCTTGAACGAAGAAGAGGAGTGGACTTGCGCTGACTTCAAATGCAAACTCTCACCCACAGTGGTTGGCTTGTCCAGCAAAACTCTGAGGGCCACAGCGAATGTGAGGGCCACAGAAACAGCTGAAAATGGATACAGGTAAGACTTGGGCAGAGGTTGGGGGTGGGGACCAAGTCATGTTAGAGGATGATATGGGCTTTGCAGATGTTTTGAGTTAAGTGGGCTGGATGGGTGGGTGGGTGGGTGGATGGATGGATGGAAGTGTTGCTGAGGCTGAGAAAGGTCTCTTGAGAGCTAGGACCGCTGGCTTTGAACCCTTTGATCTTATTTTGATTGTTTAAATAGTGATGCATGCAAAGCTAAATGCTTACAGTCTTCCAGGGATAACTTCAAACAGTAGCAAGCACTATTCATTAATGTTGGTTACTTATTATCCTGGACTAGAGTCTTAGAAGGGGTTGAGAGAGAGAGAGGACAGCAGCTTTTGATGCCTCTGACTCACCAGCTCCACTAAGCACCCTTTTTGGAAAGGGTCATGTCACCACTCATCAGTAGAGAGTGGAATTAATGTGGCCAGGGAGGCAGCTGGGCTGGGCTGGAGGCACAGGAAGTAATGTGCACCCATTGAACAGAGGGGTATATGGATCTTTTGAACTTTCATGTTAGGAGCAGCAAGCGGCTTAACTTTGTGGAATTACATATTTATTTACCCAGCAAAAAAGCTTCTACTAGGGAAGGACCTGTGACTTTCTTGAATGAAAGACTCTTAGCTTTATCTTCTAGTGGTAGATCAGTTCAGTTTTTAAATGCCTGGAGTCTGAGGGTCAGAACTCAGTTGATTATTATGTTGCTTAGTGCAGACAGAAGAAATCTTGGCCAGGGAGGACTGGGGCCCTGGAGCACTTTCTCTTCTCTGAGGCTTCAAAGACAAACTGTCCTTTACAGAGTGGCCAATTCTCAAGATGCTTGACCTTGGGAAACAACTTCAGACCTCCTGTTAAAATGAGTTTTTCTGTTTTTCCTCCTCGCTCCTCTTCTAAGTATCCCCAAAGAGAAGGAGCCTCTTGATTCGACATTGTTGCTTATGATAGGCAGGAGAAGGGGAGCTTGTCTGCTGTGGGAATGGCTTATCTGGCAACCCATCCTGGACTCCCTCATGGGCTGGGGACCCAGGGTTCCCTCTGCTTGGTAGTTACTTCTGGTGTGGCCCCCAGGGTCAGCAGGCACCAGGTGGTTAATCACTAGCATTTGGAATAGCTAGTCTGAGCCTAGTAGGCAATGTTTTAGGGGTAGCCAAGAGGGTTGACTGCTCTTGGGGAGCAGAAAGGGCTTGTTCTCCAACCACCAGGGGGCGCTCTTACAACCCTGGGAGGCAGTCTACCCACAGTCAGCTGTTTGGTCTAGCCCTAAGTGGAACTGCACTGGTTTTTACAAGGAACTATAGGATCACCTGAGGAAGTTGTTTCAGCATCTTTTAAGTTGATGGTTTCAGATTCTTTTGGAAGATGTTGGGTCTGTTCTCAGGAGGCAGAGCTTCTGGGGCTGGCTGGGCAGTACCTAGATGCCTTCCAGTTACTGGCCTGCTCCATCATGTGAACTTTTGGGTAAACTCTATGCTAGCCTCCTTGCCCTCCAGCGTGGCAGCGAGAGCAGAGAGTACTTTAGGTCTGTGGCAAGGCTGCTTCCCCAGGGCCCTTCTGACGGTGGGGCCTCTGTCCCCAGTGTCAGGACCCAGAGCATCACCTTTGTAAATGGCACAGTGTGTGGCTTTGGATGACATCAGTAAGAAAGAGCTCACCAGGCAGGACCCTGGTGTGACCTCCCCTCTTTTGTGGGTGCCCCTCCTCCTTCCAAGGCCTCAGCTGGGACAGTACCAGGATTACATTTGTTGGATATTACTCTGGAAAAAGTTTGGGTTCTTGGAGGCAGAGTGTTTCTAGTGTTGCCTTCTTAGTTGTAAGCTGTGGGTATCTTTGGTCTGTGGATCACAAATTTTCACTGGCTTCTTAAGTTTCCATGTTGGATTTTTGTTGGTTTTCTCCCACTGTTAACTTGAAATGAAGACTTTTCCTTGGACAACATGAAGCCCATATGCTTTAACTTTGGATATTGTCAAAGGGAGTTTAAGGCATATCCAAATTATTTAATTTCATTTTAATAGCCAGGTATTAAAGTGTGTATATAGTGTATTATGCCCTGAGGTTCAAAGGCCTGGGTTCCACATGGTTCACCACTTACTATGAAAGCTTTTCTGAGCCCCATGTACCCACCTGTAAAATGGGTTGGTACCATCCACTCTCTGTCATTGGGTTGCTTTTAGGAGGAAAATAGTAAACATGCAATGCCTTTGTATATGGGAACACACTGAATGGATATAAAGGGTCATAATTAGTACAATTGATAATGATAATAATTAGATGTGTCAAAGGGCAACCAGGTTAGGATATCACTGACGAAGAGTGACTCTTCAGTTCTTGTCCATATTTCATCGTAGGTTTTAGAGTGTGTTCCCCCCCCCATGCCTCAACTTTCTGTACTTGTCAAACTTACTCAAGTGTGTCATTCCAGCTAGATTGCTGGTTCTTGGAATGTAGGGATCCTATCTGACACCTAGGCTTTAACCCTTCCCGTGCGCGCGCGCGCGTGCACACCCCCCACCCTCACTCGCGGTGCAGAGTAGCACACACACACCCACCCTCACTCGCGGTGCAGAGTAGCTGGCACTGGGGAGGCTTGCTAAGTCAGTAATGAATGGAACAGACAACACGAGTCCTGCTGAGGCACTCCCTTCATCAAGCAACTGAAGAGCAGGCTTGGCAGCCGGCTGCCCAGGGGACTGGCTGGCCTTCCAGGGCCGTGTTTGCCTTGGGCACACTCAAAGGAGGCTCATTTTTAATGACTTGTTTGTGTGGCTACTGATTTAGTGTCCAGTTTAATATAAATAGTTGGGACGGAAGAGCAGGAATTATCCTTGGAGGGAAGGACTCGGAGTGGAGTGGTTGAGTGGGATGCCTGGGCTTTTGATGGTCTCTATAAATAACCTAGAGCAGAAGCAACCTGTTGGGAGAAGCACGTGTCAGAAACCAACACACACACACACACACAGAGTGTCAGTGTGTGCTGAGGGGTGGTGGGGTTAGGAGCTCGGCCCAGCGTTTATTTTGGGAAGTGCAATACAGTGCTGGGGGCACGGAGCGCGCTGTGCTCTTGCTGCTCTGCCCTGGGACTTGTGTGTCCCTACCCAAGGTGTCTCTCCCCTGCCTCCCGCGGGGCCTCTGCTCTGGCCTCACTTACAGTCGGGCCCAGCAGATAGCTGTCTGCTGGCTCCAGGTGCACCTTGCCCTCTCCGAGCACTTGCTCATGAGGCCCGCTGTTGTGGGTGGAACTATTGGAGTCAAGTTTGGCTTCAGTTATCAAAGAAAGTGATGCCATAGGAGAGATGCTGGAAGCGGGAGCCTGCCATTGGGGGCTGTAGCTCTGATGAACACAGTTTGCTAAAACACACCTGTCAAAGCGCACCTGTTTCAAAAGACCAAGCTGCCCAGTGCTGTTTGGGGCCCAGGCCCTCCCTGAATGCCGAGTGGCCTTGCCTTAGATGATGCTGGTTGGAGAGGGTGTTCCCTTCGGGCAGTGGCTTTTGGGGGGGGGAATTGCCAGAGGGTGCTTGGAAAGTACTAACCACATGGTCTTCAAAGCCAATACTTTCTAAGTTGTGTTGTTTTGAGAGGGCCCAGGAGGAGGCCCCAAAGGTCATTTCTGTTGTGCTTCTGTGGATGGCCTCTTTGCCCTGGTGTATGGGAAGAAGCAGGGGCCACAGCATCTCCCCAAGATAAGAATCCTCTGGAAGAAAAAAACAAAACAGCCCACCTGTTCCCCTTCCCGTTAGGTCCCTGGGGCCTCCGCTACCTGACAGCTGAAAACCCTTTGCAGACTGAAGTTGAGAACTGCTGGGTCGGGGATGCAGGGCCGGTGCAGAATGTCTACCTTAGGCCTCTGCACTCCATAGGAATTTAAAATCCTCGCTGTCACTGGCAGCAAAACAGTATGAGGAAATGATCAAAGCATCTGGCTACAATTCCTGTAGCATGGTCAAGTTTCTTTCCTTTTTTTTTTTTTTTTTTTTTAAAGTAATCACAAGAAAACAGCTCTAATCCGTTTTCTTAAAATTATGTGGCGATTTCAACAAAGTTAGGGGTTCTTAAAGACTTGAGTTCCTGTCTCTCTCCACAGCCCCGCCTCCTTCCTCCGCCTCATCTTGTTATGTGCCTTGGAAAATCCAAACACTTTGCTGCCGTCAACAGAGTAGCGTCAACAGAGCAGTGTATTCCACCTTTAATTACTGGCCACACAGTACTCCTCTGTTTTGCAAGTGAAGAGACGAGTTTATTTTGGGATCCATGTGCTTAAAACACAAGCACAAAGCTGTGTGAGCACACGTGGGATTTGAGTTAGGTGTCTTTGTTGTTGGAGAGGAAGGAATTTCTATTGAGTCACCTTCTCCTTGTAGACGCTGAAGCATAACTCTTCCTTTTGGGACACTGGTGATGTGTGAATATGACAAAGATAGCAATACCGAAGAGATGGAAAGAGTGCTTGAATGCTATTTAAGGCTGGTTTAGCTTTTCTGATCTTGTACTGTGTGTCTTAAACTAAAAACGTTTGCAGTGACCTACCTGATGATGGGCCTAGGCCTTTTAAGGAGGTTCAACAAAGTTTTGAGCCCCTGATGCCAGGTGTCACGAACTACTTAGAGTGTTGGGGAGACATCTAAGAAAAAGGCACATCTGATCCTTCCCCTCATGGAGCTTACAGTCTAGCAGTTGCACAAGACAGGCATTCATCTGCCCCCCCCCCCACGATATGTAGTTGTAAGGCATTATCAATGAGAAGACATCACAAGGCCATCTGAGACAACAAGAGCTCTCATTTTTGTTGGCGGTTGGCTTTTCAGAGTATTATGGTTATTTTGCAAATTGGCAGTGCCCTTAGAGGGCCCTTCAGAGAACAGGAGATCTTCATGTAGGTGACCATCAGTGGACTACTGATTTTTCAGATGAATACCCCAAGCCCTGGGAGTGCTTTGACCTGCCTGGGGTCACCTAGCAGTCCAGTGGCTGAGCCAGCACTAGTTCTTGGCTCTTTCTTGACTTTTGGTCCCTATCAAAAGGTTACATTGGTGAGTAGCGACTGGGGTCTTAAAAGCTTTCAAGCGGCCATCTAAAACGCAGCTAACAGTCTCCTAGTGTCAGAAGCGAAGAAGAACGCAAAAGAAAAGGGGGGCCATTTAGAAGCAATTAGCCCTAGGACACTATGGTCCTTGAGACCAGAAGAACTGGATGGTGCCTGGCTATAAATGCCAATCACTCAGGGAAAGATCAAAGCTGGAGATCCTGGATAGAGTGGGAGGGAAAACGTGGAACAAAATCCAAAAACTCAATAATGACCAGGATTACTGGTCAGATGAAATCTGGCGAGACTCCCAGTACTATGGCCCTGGAATACATTCTGCGCCTGGAATAAAGTGCACCCCCAGAGGCGGGCTCTCAGCCCAATAGTTAACAAGATGTACACACAGACCACTTAACCCAGGATGACGCACCCACATACTCTATGGTACTACATCCCTTAGAGCAATAGACCATGAGACACCAGAGGACCAACATTCAAACTGAGGAAATGCAGGACAAACAGGAGTGCATAAATATGAGGGGCACAGGGGGAGGGTTACAGGGTAGGGAGGGGAGGAGACTGGGTTAGGGTTGGACATGCCGAATGGGGAATGAAACTAAATGTATGCATTATGTTGAATGTAAAACAAGCTCTTGAAAAAAAAAAAAAAAAAGTTACATTGCATTCCTTTGGATTGGAAGGGGCCCTGAAGAAGTTGACAGGTAGATCTTTAGTGCAGGGCCAATGAGTCCTGCTTTCACTGGGGATAAGGAAGGACTCCCCAGCGGTATGTGTGATCCCAGGTGCACCTTTGGGTTAGACCATAAAGGAGGGGTGGAGCAGACGGGGAGCCCCGTGGGAATGTGGGGAGCAGTGGGGATGAAACAGAAAGTAGAAGAGACAGTCCCCTTGTCTTTAAACAGCTTGTTCTCTGGTTGGAGAAAACAAACATGAAATGTTACTAGGAGAGCCATAGAATTTTAGGCTCAGAATGAGCCTAGAAATTATCTAAATCCAACTCCCTTGGCTTAGAATGATGTTAATTAAAACCAAGAGCGACCACTGAATGCGCACTTAACTGCACGAGGCGCGTTTCTCCATAGCCGTGGGCTCTAGCCAGGGTCAGCCCCGTCTGCCTGTCCTGCTTTACTGCACGAGGCGCGTTTCTCCATAGCCGTGGGCTCTAGCCAGCGTCAGCCCCGTCTGCCTGTCCTGC